AATCTTTCATAACATAAAAAACTCCAACACTCGTAAGTTTGACAGATTGTTGAATGACACCAAAAAAACCTTCCTCAACACTCAACAAAATTGGATAAAAATCTCAGTAACGTTGACATCCCTCATGACATATTAAAATTTCTTTCCTTAGGGCCTAAGTTCAGTGTAGAGCCGATTGTTACAATGACATTCCAATTAGATCAATCCTAGCGGATTAGACACAATAGCATCCTCCATAAGTGATGACACTGAAAGAAACATTTTCACAACTCGTTCCACTAACCTCATCACTAACTACTATCATAATAACAATCTTAATAAAAACATTCCTTTTATCACAACCTTTTAAACAAAACTAGAACATTTCTAAAACAACATCCTGAACTTATGGTTACAAGATCTGACAAAGGCAATGTTACAGTGATAATGCTTAAACAACACTATTTAGATCTTTGCAACAATCTCATCAATGATGACCCATCATATCATGAAATTAATAAAGATCCCACACTTAAAGTGGAAAAGAAAAGTAATGACATTGTTAAGGAACTTCTCAGCACTGGACAAATAACCCAAGAACAAAAAGAACTTTGACTACTTATAACTCTGTCCCTCCCAAATTTTATGCACTTCCGAAAATTCACAAACCTGTACTCTCAGTAAGACCTATAGTTGCATCAATAGGTTCAGCCACCCAGGCTTTGTCTTCATTAATATAGACAACACTAAAATCAGCACATGCAGATAATGATTACTACATCAAAGACTCATTTGAAGTCTCTCGTCAGTTCAACAGATTGACAATACCAGCCGATCATATTATCGCCAGTCTTGATGTGGTGTCGCTATTCAGCAACATCTATCTGGATGCATGTACAAGAACTATTAATAAACACTGGAATGAGATAAGTCAACACTGCAACATATCTCTAGAATCTTTCACCAACATTATAACATTCCTTTTTCATAACAATTATTTCTCTTTCAACAACAAAATATATTCTCAAACACATGGTTGTCCTATGGGATCTGTTCTGTCACCAATTTTGGCAGAATATGTCATGGATGATCTGCTTGATACTGTTATTCCGACACTACCCTATAACCTCTTCTTCATAAAAAAATACGTAGATGACATTATTTTATGCCTCCCTTCCATAGGTCTGGATGGTATTGTCAGAGAATTCAACAGCTATGACCCCTACATCCAATTTACCATTGAAAAAGAAGATGAGAACCTGTCTGTCCCCTTTCTAGATACAAGACTCATTCGCACCAACAACAACAGTTTATTGGTAGACTGGTACCAGAAACCTATGGCCTCAGGTCGGTTTCTCAATTTTAGGTCATACCATAAGCTAGGGATTAAAATCAATTTGGTAAAACAGATGAAAACAAGGGTAATCAGCATCTCAGATAATACCTTCCACACCTCAAATTTACGTAAACTATCAAAACTGTTCATCAATAATGGTTATCCGAAGTGTCTGATTAACAAGATCATTTTTAGTTCACCTTCCAATATTTTGCCGAACTCTGGTGATGCAGGTAATAGTCGCACAACCCCTAATAACGGAACTGATGTAATTCCCAATAATAACATCAATCCTAACAGTACAAGCACCAACCCGGACTCCAGACCTGGTTTTGCTGTCCTGCCCTACATCAAGGAACTGACCCCTAAGCTGATCAGATTGTGCAGTCCTTTGAACTTTCGAATGCTTGCAAATCCGTCCTCACTATAAACTGCATTTTTTCAAAAATGAAAGACAAAGTCCCGCTGCTTGGCTTAACCAACACAGTCTACTCCATCAATTGCAACAACTGCAACCAAATATACATAGGTCAGACCTCCAGATCTCTTAAAGGAAGGATTACATCACACAAAAGTGATGCTAGGCTTCATCCTGAAAGATGCGCCCTAGCATCTCATGTTAACACAACAGGGCATTCTATGAATTACACAAGTATCAAAGTTCTTGATAAAGAAAAACACCTTTCCAAACGTTTATTCCTGGAAATGTCCCACATTTTCATGAATAACAACTGTATCAACAAAAAGACAGATGTTAAACAACTGAGTGTCATTTACTCATATCTGCTAAACTGCGAAAAATTGGAGAACTTACATATCTCCCCAAATTTCAACTCTTCACAACCATAATTAGAATCTGTGTTTTGGCCGTTTCCACCAGTAAATTTCATTCCACTCAAAATATAATAATTCTCTCCTCACGATTTATTAATAATTGTTAATTTAAATTCCCATTAATAATAATATAGTCTATTCAACTGCCTCTGGTCGGTTTAACAAATTCTAACATAAAATTCTGAAAATCTCATCATCTGAAGTGATTTGGCAACGTTTTGGCACACGCCCACAATTCGTTCCATCTTTCAATACTGACATTGACATCCTTCGGCCTTCTGTCAAAGGGTTTCATGTCACTCATCATTATTCCATGACCACTAATTTGTGCAATCATCAAGTGGCTTCACGATGTAATGCTCTAAAATTTTTTAAAAATTTTTTAAATAATTTTTAATCTGTTTTTAACTTGTTCTTGTCATATTTTATATAAGTTTGACTATTGTACAATCTATCCAGCTCTCACCATGTTACTGGACGTTTCCCTCATCCTATACGTAAACAACAATTAGCAACATCCTCACATACTACTGTAAGTTGAGTCAATTTAAATTCATTTTACACCTTTGTTGCTACTGTTATCATTGTAATTGCAGCTCCTGATGATGATGGCAAAGTCCATTGAAAGCTAGAGAGAATTAAAAAAAGTATAAAGAGTCCTCTTTGCTTAAATTTTGTCGAAGTACCCAACAAAAGGCGGAAGCTTTAATTTTTTCACCTATATATACAGGGTTATCCAAATTAAGTGTCCACCATTAGTAACTTTGTTATTAGTGAAAATACAAAGTTGTTTGAATTAGCAAACTAGTAGCATTTTTAACGCTGGTAAAAATGAGAAATAAAAAAAACAATTGAGAGTCGTTATTTTGATTTTTTTCAGTAAAATAACATTTTTTTAAATGGAAACCCCTGTATATTATATTTTTTTCTGTTAAAGCATCAAATTTTAAACAAAAAAGCTTACAATAACTTTTCTCCTAGGTTACAAATTGTTGAAGTTATGGCCACCAATCTGAAACAATTAAATTGTATCGACAAACTTTATTTTCAACATCAACTTATAATCTTACGAAATACAATAACAATTTTTTTTAAAGAAGATGCTCGAAAACACCACCTTGTTCTTCAATACATTTTTGGGCACGTTTTTCAACTGCTCGAACTGTCTTAAGTATGGTCCTACCATCTATCTGGATTATCTTTTCCCTAACTGCAGTCTTTAACGCGTCAAGGTTATCGTACCTTCGCTTGTAAATTTGGTTCTTTAAGTAACCCCACAAGAAGTAATCAAGTGGGTTTAGATCTGGTGATCTGGGAGGCCACTGTATTGGGCCATTTGTTCCTATCCACTGATCATTAAAAGTAGTACTTAGAAAATGATAAGTACCTCTGGAGTCGTGGGCAGGTGCGCCATCTTGCTGAAAATGCAGATGATGTCTACTTATAAGATCCAATTCGTCTAAGAAATTAGTCAGAATTTCTGACATAAATTCCACATATCTTTCACCAGTTAGGGTTCCCTCATAAAAGAACGGGCCAACAATTTTTGAACCAATTATACCGCACCAAACGTTGAAACTGAAACGGACTTGTGGGCCTCTTGGATGTACTAACAAAAGATTTTCTCTTGACCAATAATGGTGGTTTTTTCTATTAAACATTCCAGAATTTGAAAAATTTGATTCATCTGTCCATAAAAGGTAACGAAAGTTATTTACATTTTGGCGACAGAAGCTAAGATACCAATGGCAAAAAACAAGTCTTCTCTCTGGATCCCCTGCCAAAAGCGTTTGAACTGGTCGGTACTTATACGGAATAAATTTGTATTTTTTTAAAATCCTTTGAACAGTACCATAACTGAAATTAGAGTCCTTGAGAATATCTGCTATTGAATTCTCACGATAAGCTTCAAAATATCCAATAACTGCAATTTCCGTGGCCTCGCTTATTATGAATTCTTTTTTTGCCCTTGTTTTAGCAAAAACATTTTCGTTGCCCCTAAATTTTCGATAAAGTCTCAGAAAATATCGTTCATACGGTTGAATGCGAGCGGGATATAATTCACTGTAGTATTCTCTTGCTCTCAAGGAGGATTTTCTGCACACTAAATAGCATTCTAACATATCACACTTTTCTTCATGGGAGAACATTTTTCTTTAAATTAATGACACAATAAAGCTTATAAACAAGTATTTACACTAATGTTTGACATTATTTGATTTTATCATTGTTTTCCAAAGCCTTCTAGTTGCGAGTATGTCCAGTTTAACAATTTGTCGCTTATCTTAATGCTGTCAAATCGCGAACGCCTTGTTGTTTTCATAGCCGTCTTAATATTATAATACTGCAAATAATTAAAAATATTTATCGTTATTTTGACTTTATTTTTGACTTTAGCGGAAAAGTCATTATGAACTTTTTTGTTTAAAATTTGATGCTTTAACAGAAAAAAATATAATATACAGGGGTTTCCATTTAAAAAAATGTTATTTTACTGAAAAAAATCAAAATAACGACTCTCAATTGTTTTTTTTTATTTCTCATTTTTACCAGCGTTAAAAATGCTACTAGTTTGCTAATTCAAACAACTTTGTATTTTCACTAATAACAAAGTTACTAATGGTGGACACTTAATTTGGATAACCCTGTATATATATGAGAAGTAGTCATTGCCAAAGCCAACGACTAGTTGGGTACAAAATACAATTACATGTTAATTGGGAAATTGGCAAAACTTTTAGGGTTAAGTTGACTCTTTTGACGATAAAATCAAGCTTTCGACATTCTCTTTGGAGCCATCATCAGGATTCTGAAAACACAATTGTGATGCTAGCAAGAAGACAGATTTAAAATGTCAGACAACTTACTCGTCAGTGAGGTTGCAGCCACAAGGTGTTTCAGAAAGAACGTAGAGAAGATGACTTGTGTTCAGTATAAAAACAAAAGGACGGGGACATTGGGCTTGTTAAAAAACGACAGATACCTTCGTTAAAAGTTAAGAAAAAATAAAAATTATATCAATACACCCGAACAAGCTAAAAATATTACACGTGGGGAGACATTTTGTTGAAAAAATCGGAATGCAGTCCCTAACCTTCTACCAGTGCTGCCACGCTTCTACCCACCAATGTCGGTAGATCTCAAAAAATAAATCGGTAGGTTTCGGTTTAAAATCGGTAGATAGCCGGTTGCGCCATAGGCTTCCCCTAGAACGCTTTTAACAGATAAAAAATGAGGTTAAGCAATAAGCAAGCTTTTTCTACGAATTTTTTTTATATATCTAATCAGCAGTTTTTCTTCAATTTTTTTTTAGGTATTTGAGCAATGGAAAACAAATACTTTATGAAGCAATGAAAAACAAATACTTTATGAATAAATATATTTTATCCATTACTGATCAGTTTCGGGTATCAGAAGTACACAAAGAATCTAAATATACATTGTTAACGTAATAAAACAAGAACAACAGAACAATATAAATCGATAATTATTAAGTTGTTTAGTCATTTTCACTCTCTTCAATACCTTTTAGTGTTTTATTATCCATTTTTAAAATAAGTTCTTTGCTTATTTTAAAATTGAAACATTATTACCTAAGTACTGTTTAGTATGTACTAATCCCGTAATTGTCTTTGTATTTAAAGAATTTCTTTGTTTCGTTTTCATTAGGTTAATTTCTGAGAACCTTCTTTCAACATTGGCGGAAGAATGGGGTAAACACAATATATTAAAAGCGAATTGGCTTAAATTGGAAACAAAGGCGTATCGTCACCTAAGCGATATTCACTTACTTCCTGCCAAAATGTCTCGACTTGATTAGATAATTTTACAATATCGGTATTACGCAAAAGACGCCATTCGTTATCAAGTGATTGAAGCGCTTCTTCCTTAATTAAGTTTGGAAAAATCCTGGCCACATCTGAAATAGAAGGTATAACTCCTGTTTTGACATTTACGGGATCGAGAAAACTAAACAATTTAATTGGATTATTTCTAAGCCTAAAAAAATGTATTTGCTCGCTGGATATTGTAATTTCTGATAATGTTTTTGCCACATTAGCTCCAAAATAAACATTTTCTATTGGTAAGTAATTTCTGGGATTTTTGTAGTCAATATTCTCTAGAGATGTTGATGTTAAATAATCGCGGTTTAAATAACAATCAAACATGGTTTTTAAAACAGTGGATATGTTTTTATATATAACATGTATTCTTGGGCTCTCTGCTTGCATATCCTTATTTAAATTATTGAAAAAAGGCAAAGCAAAATCTAAAAATTACAAAAATAAGAGAGTAGTAGGGTCGTTTAACCTTTTCAAAATTTGATTCGTAGCTAAAACATCATTTTGGAAAACAGCGTCAGTAAAGTATAATTTTAATGGATTGTATTGTTCTAAAATACGACTTACTACACTTTGAACAGAAAGCCATCTAGTCTGTGATGGGTGCAGAATTTTATGTATTTTTATGTTACAAAAAGCCTGAAAGTCACGGAATTCTGAAGTTCTTTTTGGGCTAGAATTAAAATAATTATGAATATCCCTCACAAGATCCTCGACAAACCTTGGTATTTTTTGTGAAGCGTAAGAAGCGCAAAGGTGGAATGAATGGCATATGCACTTCATCACAAACAAAAAAGGAATATCTTTCTTTAAAAGTACCATTAATGAATTAGTTTTGCCCATCATGACATTAGCCCCATCCGCAGAAAATCCAATTAAATTATTTTTATACAGAATATTGTTAGTTTTAAAAAGGTCTATAACAACGTTATATAAAGTTTTTGCATCAGCATTGATAAAGGTAATAGAGCAAAAAATTTGTCTTTTATTACATTATTTTTTCGATACCTCACTACGGAACAAAGATGCTTAGTGGTGCTAACATCCGTCGATTCATCTACTATTAATGAGAACTTATTTTGTCTTAGATCTTCGCAAACGTTCAAAAATTCTTCCTGGCCAATTACATTTTTTACAATCGACGTTGTTTTGGTTCTGCTAGAAGCCAAACCACGAGCAATTTCGGAATCAGAACATATATTTTTTATTAGATCAGGCAAATGCTCCATAACGGTAAATGGAAGATTATGTTCAGCTACAAACGCCGCCAGCCGTATCTCAGCTAAAAAATGATGGAATAGAATAAAAAAACCTTGCCACAATTATAATGTTACAATGATCGATGCACGTAGTACTATATCATATTGTTAAATGATGCAATTTTATACAACAATGTTGAACAGTGCGGACGTGTTATACAACATGTTATATAGTCTGGATGCACCTTAAGACAAAAGGTGGAGAAAGTCACGTGATGGGTCTGGAGGAAGGAAAGAGAGCTTCCAGTAGCATTCCGACATCCAATAAAAAATATATTTTGAGCATTGTAATGAATCTTGTACTACATTTTATAACAGGTACTGCACATAAGTGCATCAATCATGGGAATTACCAAATAGAAAAACGTAAGTATACCTTCTTTGGTGTCTTGAGCCCTTTGCCTCCTTTTTGTGTCTTGTCTGTAACAAATTTAGTCATGGACGGTTGATTTTTGATAGATTTTACATTTTCTTCGTGGATTTTTCGCTGTGTATGTTTTATAAGTGAGTCCTTTCCACTGGATATATTAATATCTTTATTGCATGCCTTGCAGAATCCAAAATTTTTCCCTTTTTGGCTTTTAATAAGCCAACCTGTGAAGCGTGGTTCTTTCTCCCAATCTGATTTGTAGGACTGACTGTATTTCATCTTCTTTTTTAAACCGTAACTGGTTCCTTCACCTCCACTATCAGCACTGTCACTATCACTATCCATATTTGTTTAATAAAAATTAAAATCCAGAAAAAATCAAAATTTATATCAGAGAATATAAATTTAATCACTACTCTTCAACATACTTCTAAACAGCCAACACCAACAGAGTATTTATAATATAAATCGTGTATCGACTATCGCGTCCTGCTGGTGTTAGCCAGGGGAATACCCGAGTCGCGTCGGGGAATTACCAAATAAATTGTATTTTGTAGAAATCAGTTATCGGTATTTATTTTACGATTTGGACGTGTACCACTAGATGTCGCTAAATATAAGAAAAGAAGAATAAACTGGGATGTTTTAAGCAAACTACAGAATATTTATAAGTAGCTTAGAGGGTAAAACATATTATTGTAATTTAAAAATATGCATATTTAGAAACAAAAAAATCGGGAGATTTTTCATTAGAATCGGTAGATCGGTAGATCTCTTCTAAAATCGGTAGATCTACCGATAAATCGGTAGAGGTGGCAGCACTGCCTTCTACTAACGCTACACGTGGAGAGGGGGAAGGCACGGTACGGTAAAGCATCGACAGAAGACAAGTGATTGACGCGACGGAACGTGGAAATGTACACCTCCCTGTCCAACTTTGGGTATGAAGTATACCAGGGACGCTCGGTAAATCTCCACCCAAAATTACTAAAATGCTGGAGTAACTTGTTTTGGAAAAGAGTGTGGGGTTCATATGAGTGCAAGAATGTGTGATATTGATACAACCTTAAAAAGATGGGTTATGTGAGTTTATATTAAAAATGTGAGTGAGAAAATGTATTCTAATTCTGTGAAGATGTTGGATCAATTTGGACATGTAGCCGTTCTAGGTTTTTGGCAATTCAACAGGTAGGAATAAATGACACTGAGCTGCTTAACATCAGCCTTTTTATTCATGCAATGATCTGTCATGAAAATGTGGGACATTTCTAAAAATAAACTTTTTGGGAGTCTTTTTTCTTTATCAAGAACCTCAATACTTCCATAATTCGTAGAGTGACCTGTGTTGTTAGTATGAGACGCCAAAGCACATCTTTCTGGATGTAATCTGGCATCACTTTTGTGTGACGTTATCTTGCCTTTCAGCGACCTAGAAGTTTGGCCTATATAAACTAAATTGCAGTTGTTGCAATTAATACGATAGACAGGATTGGTTGAATCAAGCAACTGAACCTTATCTTTCATTGTGGACAACAAACTGTTGACTGTGAGAACTGATTTACAAGCAAAACGACAATTAAAGGGATTATACAGCCTGATCAATTTTGGTGTTAGTTCTTTGATGTATGGCAAGACAACATAATTAACTCTGGAAATAGGAGCAACCACTGTAGTGCTGTTGTTCTCATTAGTTGAAGAATTAATGGGTATCTGGTTTGATTGACCTGTGTTGTCATTGTCACTATTGTTATTAGTGATTGGCAAAATATTCGGAGGGGAGCTGAACAAGATTCTGTTAATCAAAAACTTAGGATAGCCATTGTTGCTAAATAGGACTGAAAGCTTCCTTAAATTGGAAAGATGGAAAGTACTGTCAGAGATTTTTATAACCCTGTTTTTCATTTGTTTCACCAGGTTTATTTTTATTTTAAGTTCATGGTAAGACCTGAAGTTCAGGAACCTTCCGGAAGAAAGTGGTTTCCTGTACCAGTCTACCAGTAATAAATTGTCATTGAATCCAAAAAGGGAACAGATTGATTGTCATCTTCTTTTTCGATGGTGAACTGGATGTAAGGATCATAACTGTTAAAAACCTCAACAATATCATCCACCCTATCATAAGGAAGACAAACGATTATATCGTCCACATACTTTTTAATGAAAATTAGATTGTATGGCAATACTTGAATAACAACATCAAGCAGGTCATCCATTACATATTCCGCCAAAATTGGAGATAAAACAGAGCCCATGGGGCAGCCATGTGTTTGTGAAAACACTTTGTTATTAAAGGTAAAGTAATTGTTCTGGAAAAGGTACTCTACGATATTGATGAAAGAATCCAGAGTTAGGTTGCTGTGTTGGCAAATTAGATCCCAATGTTTGTTGATGGATCTGATGCAAGCTTCTAAATACACATTGCTGAACAGTGAAACTACATCTAAACTCGCAATAACATGATCAGGGGGTATTTGAAATCTATTAAATTGTTGACAAACATCAAAAGAGTCTTTCATAAAGTATTCTCCTTTGATGTGAGCTGACTTTAGAGTATCTGCAATTAATGAAGATAAAGCTAGTGTGGCTGATTCAACAGAAGCTACAATCGGTCTTACTGGCAGTACCGGTTTGTGTATCTTGGGAAGAGCATAAAACTTTGGAGAGACAGAATTATAAGTGATTAAGGACTTCTTTTGGTCTTGGTTGATTTGACCAGTGCTGAGTAGCTTGTTAACAATGTCATTGCAAACTTTCTCTACTTTAGATGTAGGGTCTTTATTGATAACCTTGTAAGAGGGATCATTATCAATCAAATTATTACATAGCTCAAAATGTTACATCACATCAGAGTCTCCCTGTAGACATTCGTCAGAAAATTTCCGACAAAAGAGCTGCAATTAAGCAAGCGAAGAGGTCTTGTCACCCAGATGACATTCACAGAGCAATGAGTCTTGTTCATGAAGTGAGAAATGCTCTTCATGAATTTCGTAATGAGCAATGGAGCGACTTTCTGTCGGCGATGCTTGACTCAAGTATTCCTCTCAGGAAAGTTGCAGTCGCTCAGAAACGGAAAGCGAGAACAACTCTCGCACATCCACGGACCTAGCGCATAGTCTGTAGGACAGAGGAAATGGTCGAGGTTTTGGCTGATGCAAGTTCTCTCCCAACTATGACCTTGATAATGACCTCGACGAGGAGCAACATATTGTAAGATCCTTCAGAAGATTCCTCAACTGAAGAGCTGCATGGCACATCAGCGGAATCTCCCTGAGACTCCGCAATGCACACCAGCAGAGCTCCAAGGTCATTTTAAAGACCTCAAGGTGCGTAAAGCACCCGGAGAGGCTCGAATCACTAATAAGGCGCAGAAGCTACTTTCGCGGAAGCCGTTAACTTATCTCGTGAAAATATTCAATGCCATGCTAAGTACCCAGCACTTCCCAACGGCGTGGAATACCGCTGATGTCATAATGCTTCCAAAGAAGGTGGGTTTGATATTCCCCCAGGATTACCGCCCCATTAGTCTACTGTCAGCTCCTTCTAAGCTCGCTGAAAAGGTGATTCTACGTCACCTTGAAAATTTCTCGGCAGACCACAATATGATTCCTGACGTGCAATTTGGCTTTCGGTCTGGGCATAGTACGGAGCTACAGACCATAAGGCTTGTTAAACGAGTAACCAGGGCGTTAACCCGTAACCAAAGTACTGCCATCTTGCTTCTGGATGTCTTAAAGGCATTTGTCAAGGTGTGGCACAAGGGACTTCTCTACAAATTGATCCATAAGGGCTACCCATTCTGGCTCCTAAAACTTTTGAAATCCTTCCTCGAGGGTAGGAAATTTCAGATCAAAATTAATAACGTTCTGTCGACAACATGGCCCATCAAAGCCGGTGCCCCTCAGGGTTCGGTTCTTGGACCAGTCCTGTATTCACTTTTTATTCATGACGTCCCTTGCTCCAGCAACCTATCTCTATGCTGATGACATTGCCCTGGTGGCCCAGTCGTGCTTTGGGATCTAGTTCACCACAGGCTGCAAACTGCAGTGAACGAGGTATTGGAATGGGTGAATCGGTGGATGATCAAAATTAATCATTCGAAAACGCAGGCAATCCATTGTACTAAAAAACGTAGCGGCGCCCCGTCTGAGGTTTCAGTGAATGGAGCTCGGGTACCATGGGAAAGCTCTGCTAAGTATCTCGGTGACACTCGCAAGCAAAATTAATTTTAGGATCTATTTAAAATTGCCGAATACTAACTAGCAATGCCAAGGCACCCCTCAAATTGATACACTTCTTTTTTCTTTGCTCTCCCTCCTTCCTTCCTTCCTTTCTTCTTCCCTTTTTTCTCTCTGACTTTGTTTGGTGTCTGGGCAACTAGACCTGTCAGATCTACTGACTTACAAGACTTCAACAAAGAGCAAAGGTCCCACGGACCGCTCTGACAGACAATGACGAATAGAATCACATCAGAGCCAAGCATTGAAAGCTGAAGCATCATGACGTTTAGGCAACACGTACAGCTACGGAACGAGTATACAATTAAGTGTATGGCAGCTAATGACAACTTGTAGAAAAACCTACATAATGTCACAAAAAACCTATATAATGTAAAAAACCGATATTTCACTTTTCAGGATACGTAAAACTCTGGGGGTTATTAAGTAAAAAACTCATATAATATCAAAAAAATCTGTAAAATGTGTGCTAGATAGCCGCTAGTGCGCCTCTAGTTCATTGCTACTACAACTGAGAATGACGTGGATGTCAGCTGATTCAAATGTGACATTTTATAGGAAAACCTACTTTATACTTTATAATGCAAAAAAACTACATGACCCCATAAATTGATATAATGTAATATTTTAAATTATGAAGTACGGGTAAGGGCATAACTATATTATATGACTATCAGGAAGAAATTTATGCCTAGAATGTAGAGTTTATCAGAGGTTACAGAAAACAGCTGTCGTTTATTAACTAGACGAGCTGGAACTTCGATCAAAATATCACAATAACAATAAAACATTCATAATTCTGATTTTTCTGAATCACTCTTTGCAAAAACATACTTCTGCTCATAGACTGATCCATTTATACCAGTATAAATCGGCTGATAGTTATAGATGAGCGTTCTTTTTTCTAAATCATGATCTGGAAACCTGTTTGCATTCTTCCTACATTCCTCCACGAAGAAATTCGCGAAGTATTGAGATATCTTCACAGCCTCGACACTATGTGGTATTCCAATGCCTGCCTTGAACTCAAACAAGTTTTTCTCAGGATGAAACTGCGTCCCGTAAAATGGGTATCTGGTATTTTCCATGGATGATATGAATTCAATACCATTAATGTCTTCATCGGTTGATGTTATTTTCCATTCTGGTAGTAATTTGTGGCGCCTGAAGGTTTTTTCAGTCAAGCA